ATCTAATCAATAATATATATATATATATATATATATATATATATATATATATATATATATATATATGTATGTATGTAAAAGATTAACTAAAAAAAGTTAAAACTTCACAATGCAATTCTCTGGGATAGAGGTAATAATATATACCCATGTTTGGATTCTTTTAGAACGTCAACCAGAGAATTCAAACGCTTCCTATCTAATAATTTAAATTTGCTCATTTTAAATAAGATAGTGATATCCATATCCGTAAAAAAATTAAATAAACTTCATTTGTTCCCAAAAAGCCCTTCTACTTTCAATTAAAATTTTCCTCTTACCTCTATTAATTATTAACCTATTTACTATTAATCTACATATTACATTTTATCATGTCTTACAATAAAGTAAAATACATTTTTAAAACTATCTTCCATTTATTTCATTCTATCAATTTTCAAAAAAAACATAGATTTTAATTTTAAATTTTGGTATCCGTTCTTTTTATTTTTCATTAATATAATTAAAATACTTTTCATTATTATTACATTTATAGATCACTAATTTTGTATAAAAAAGTTATTTTGTAAGAATTACCCTAATGTGCATTTGACCTTTTTAATGTTTTTACTTTTTTAATCTATATAATCATTAAATTATTTTAAAAAGAAGGTTATATAAGTTTTATTGTTAGTTTTTAAAAACAAAGCTTTGTACCCGCCATTTTTTCTATGTATTAGTTTTCAAAAAAACAAAGATTTATATAAATATTAATCAACGCATATAACTATTGAAAGTACACCTTTTATTTCAGAAAAGATATCGTATCTAATAATTAAAACAATATTTATACAATGCATGCTAGATACTCCCTCGCCCAGTTTATTCTTCCCATTCTAAGAAAAACATGTAAATTCTTATTTGTTTTGGAATTCTTTTATTTATAAGTTGGAATACAAATAAAAATACAAATTATAATTTTCAAAACTACATTTAAAAATTTACAAAATAAGATGTTATAATAATATTTTATTTTGTCAATTTATTAATGCTAACTTGCATGCAAACAATAAACTATCAAAAGGCGGTAAAAATTACCAAAATATTAATTTGGGACAAAAGAAGAAGTATTATATTTATTAGAATAATAAAATAAATAAGATTATATTTTAATAAAATCTTATTATTACAAAATTTTAAAAAAGTTTAAAATATATATGAGTTCGTGTACATCACGAAGTTAAATGTAATTTAGAAAAAAGTGAAGTAATTTTTTTGACAATAACGAAGTAAAATTAGTGTGGGTAATTTTAATTTTTTGACGAAGCATAGCTATGTCAAGATTCTAATTTTAGTCTTTTTCTTATGCTTTAGTTTTATTTTGATTTTTTCATTTAAAAACTACTGAATGCAAAACTTATTTTAAAAAGAGAAAAATATTTTGAATTTTATTTTTTTAAGAAATAAAAAAATTATTATAAAGGAAAGAAATAGAAAAGTGAAATTTTGATCATTTGATGGGCTGATGTGTATATTGAAAATGCGACCTATTTTTGTTTTTTTAACCGGAATTGGAGCATTAAATTCTGGAATCTCAAATCTATGACCACTGGATCATCGTTGACTTTTCAACTCATACCAAATTGACTATTGGTCATATTTTAGTATTGCTTGCCTCTTGAAATTATGTCTCTTTTTGTGGAATAAAGTTATTTCGATATAAGTTATTCGACAATTTGGTTTAGATATAATTAAAAAAATATTTATATATTTCAAAACTACATAAAAACCTCTATGAAACAAGATAATTTAATTTTATGTAACAAAAATAAGTAAAGGAAGTGAATTAAATTTGATCTTGTAAACAGTAAATGAGTCATTTAATTTGGAAAACATTTCCTATCTTTAAAAATGTGTATTTTTGATATGGTTTTTTAATTTTACCCTTATTTTATAATGGAGTAGTATGATGTACTTTCGCGCGCTGTCAATTAATTTCTTTTTCACTTTCCTTTTTGGATTGTCCAAAAAATTCTTGTCCGTTTCCTATTTTGACAAAAAGCTTTTAATGAATGTACAATTATACCTCTATTTTTCTCTACATTATTCACTTTATTCCATTACATCAAGGACAAAACATATAAAGTCTACACTTTTTAACTTTTCTTAATCTCCGTGTCAAGTCAAACCGAGAAAGAAAATTTTAGATGAAGAGAGTATATAATAAAAAAATTAGAAAATAAAATTAAACTTACACATTTTTAAAGCCAATTTTTTCCAACAAGAAAAAAAATTGATGGAGAGAGTGAATATTATGCATTGGATGAATCATTCGAATCTCACTGTCATAAAATTTCAGTATTTCTACAGCAAAATTATATGGATGATATTTCTCTTATTTCTCAAATTTTTATTGGTTGTAAATTTCTAACCTCACTAAAAATGGTGAGCGGATGAGCCCATTCTCGAGAGCCCCCTCAGACGTGGCCGGACGTCTAACCTCACTAGTTACTATTGGTGAAGAAAATTTCATGTCTTTTCTCATCGTTCAGTGAACTCGGTCACACTTTAGCTCAAACGATCCATTCACCTCTAATTGCCGGGAGTGGTGCATTGCTTAGATATTTTACATAATAATTAATCTCTTCGTCTTTCTTTAAAAAAAGAGAGAGATTTACGTTGTCACACAACAACTGCCACATTATCGTTCGTTGTTGCCCGACACCAGAGTGTCACCACGGTCTTATGGTAACACCACACTGCCATTATAATCATATTTAGCGTATTATACAAGGTGTCTCTTACTTTAATATTTTAGTTAAATTTGCTTCTTTCGAAGGATATTAAAGGAAAACTTCATATTTTCTTCATCTTATAAATTGGATGGCATGTCATACAGTGACAAGTCATTATTTTTTTGTCATTTTTATACTTTTTAAACCTATTTTTTAATTATTAAAAATTACAGTATTTTGCTTGTCTTCTTTTTTTGCCAGAAATATAGATGTATTCCTTTTAATACAAAATTGCAGAAAAGTTCATTTCTTGTTCAAAAAAGGAAAGAAAACTAACTTACTCAAGCGATAAAGGTGACACGCCCATGCCACACCACCAAAAATCTAGCCTTCCGTGCCTCTAGATTCTACCTCCTAAATTAATCCAATATTTAATTAAAGTTATTTTTAAGTGAAATTTAATAATAAAAATTAAAAACTACGGAGTAAAAAGTTATATCAAAAAATTTATAAAATATTGACAAAATTATTTTATTTTGTTAAATAAAAAAGTGAATAAAATTTGACGTAATTAGTACGGAGTAATTTGGTAGATTTTTAGAGGGAAGGATTAGGTGGCAGGGCGAGGGAAGGCTCCTTCGTCGCCGCAGCCAGTCCACGCACAGATATATAAACAATTGTACGGAGCATTATCTTCCATCTCCCTCCCACGATGTGCAGTTTAGAGAAGAGAGGCGATATTTTCTATCTTACGCTGACCGGCGTCGACGAGCACCGCCTGAACCCGGCTCTCATCTCCTCCATTGCGGCGTCGCTAGCGGAAGTCAAGTCCAAAGTGGATCGGGGTTCCGTGCTGATCACCAAAGCAGAGGGAAATTTCTTCTCCAATGGATTCGACTTCAAATACGCGCAGGCCGCCGGCTCGCCCGAGGGCGCCATGGATCGGCTGAAGCACATGGTGGAGGTGTTCAAGCCGGTCGCAGCGGAGCTGATCTCGCTCCCTATGCCGACCATCGCATCCGTCACCGGACACGCCGCCGCGGCGGGGCTGATGCTGGCGATCTGCCACGACTACGTCGCGATGAGATCGGACAGAGGAGTCCTGTACATGAGCGAGCTGGATCTAGGCCTACCTCTGCCGGAGTACTTCACGGCGCTGATCAGATCGAAGGTGGGATCGCGCGCCGCCCGGCGCTCGCTGGTGCTGCAATCGGCGAAGCTGAGGGCGGGGGAGGCGCTAGGGCTGGGGCTGATCGACTCGGCGCACGCTGGCACGAAGGATACGGTGGATGCGGCGGAGCAATTGGCGGAGACGCTGTCGAAGCGGCGGTGGGACGGCAAGATCTATGCGGATTTGCGGAAGGCGTTGATTCCGGAGGTTTGTTTGGTGTTTGGTTTGACTGAAAATGTGTTGCCTTCTCGACTCTGAAAGTTGAAATAAAGAAATAGTACTATTCGTATCTTGCCGATCTACGGCTTCAATAGTTGTGCAATATCAATACGGAGTAGTACTTTTTTGCAACATCAATAATTCAAATATTTCAATAATTCAAAAAGAGTGCCGGGAAAAATATTTTTTATAAAAATACTACGTATAGTTTAATTTTCAAAAAAAAGTATTTTTTTTAACATTGCATTTGAAGAAGAATTGTGTCTTAGCAAGTAGTAGTAATGCTCTCTGCTCAAGTTTAAATATTCAATTTTATTTCACTTGTCCAAGATTAATTGTTCATTTTCGATATTTAATAGAGAAAGTATGATAAAATAAAATATCTCTAGAGACACACTCCAATATGAACATTCCTTCTTGTATTAATATGAATGAATGAAAAAGTCAAACTCTACTATCTTTAAAAGATTGAGAATATATGAACAAATATTACATTGCAAAAATTGAGAATATATGAACAAATATTACATTGCAAAAGAGTTATTAGTATTCAAAAAAAATTAGGAACAGAATAATTTATAATACGCCCCCTTCCTCTCTGGCTTCATCAAAGTGCAACTTTTAAATTCTTAGGTGAGGTAAAAGCTTAAAACCATTACAAACTGGTCAAAACTATTTATAAAGTATTTTTAATTTATAAGTCAGCTGATGATATGTTTCTCTATATTTATAAATTGACTTATAAGCACCTTATAAGTTAGAAAAAATATAGGTTTTATGTACTTATTTTTAAGCCAGTTTTTTTCAAAATATCATTTTGAAATCCCATTTTAGCCGCGGGCTGCGGCTCAAAATGTCTCACTTTTCATCATAGGTAAAAATCTACTAGTATAAGCAAGAAAAAAGACAAACCTTAGACACCTGGGTTTTAAGGTGGTACATATGCAAATTGTGTTTTCATGTTATAAGCATAGATTAGTTACTAACACAAATGGACAACTTGTTCTTACTGGGTTGGGGGTAGTGGAAAGGCTATGAGGAGTTGATGAACGCCAAAGAGTGTGCCTGAATATAATAAGAATCCTTGTATTTCCTCCCACTCCCGATGTGGATTCCGTTCCGGATCCAGTCCTCCCTGTGAATCCATCCGTCTCGTGTGAAATCCAGAATCCCCAGTATCTACATGTGTGTTCATAACAAAAATCTCTAAATTTCCAGTATTTGCATGAGTGTTTATTAGAAAAATCTCTAAACTTGGTAATCTTAGAGCCCTAATATGTATAAAACCTAAAACAGCAAACGCGAAGGGAAAAAAAGGAAGAATGTATCTTACTGCTCCTCCTTTCCATGGTACGAAAGCCGGATTTGTTCTTGATTGCAATACCTGATGATGATGAAGATGGTGATGATGATGAAACAATGAAAAGCGGATGAACGTGGGAAAGACGTATAAGAATGAGGTAACCTCTACTGTGTCAATTGCTTCATGGGAAGGAATGGCATGTAAAACTCTGCAATGAAGCAGAAAAAAGTGCACATCACACTCCATTCTTAGAATAAGGGTATTCCTTGGAATTAAAAGCCCACCCAAACAATGGAATTTTGGAAAGACCTTTTGAACAAACCTTTCCTCAACTGCAGGAATGAGGCCATCAATCAATGCAACTCCACCAATCTGAAGCATCCAAAGATATGTGTTACTCAACATGATATTTTTATTATAGTGACTTAATGAACCCACAGCGTCTACGATATCTCACCAGTTGCATGCTACAAAACAGCTTTCTCTGAAGTTCTATTCGCCCTGTGAATCAAAAGCTCAAAAGCTAGAGTTTGTTCTCATAAACAGCTTTAAATACAACTATAATTAGACCAGATTAGAACTTATATCAATTAGATCAGAATCAATCAGATCAGGTGAAGAGAAGAAGCCCTTAGGGTAAAAGAACGTGTGCCTTAAATATCACATGCATGCTAAATTTCACTTGATAGTTCGAGCACCTGTTGAAAGAATGCTTTTTGTGATAGCTTCTGCAAGACCGATACTGTCTTCCCTCTTTGGCTTCGATCGGAAAACGGGATAACTCTCCCACATGGGAAATGCACCAGTCCCTGGAAGATCAATTTGACAGGCATCTTCAAGCATATCATCATAGTCATTAAACCTGGGAATGAAGAACTTTTTGCTCAAGATGGGGGATATAACAAACATTTTGGAGACGATATGTTGTTTGGTGCAAGAAATTAGACCGTTGGTAATGGGGGCGTTTAATCCCTAGTCCACGCCAAATGCCGCCCCACAGCACTGCCCCTCGAGGCGTGAAAAGTTTAAAAAGCATGAGCAGCGTTATCCATTTCACGGGTGAAGATTAAAACCATTAAATAATTTTTTTTTAAAAAAAAACTAGGCGTCTAAAATTGCAGGTCAACGGCAGAACCTACAAGGGACGTACACGATTTTAGCAGCTTTGATTCCTTTGAAGATGGAGGTCGTGCCAGCAAACCCTTGTATTAAAATTTTTACTTTTAAAACTTTTGGTGAAATATTTTAGGGTGTTATTAATTATTTTCAAGTTTAATTTTCATTTTAAAAATATTCCCTCCGTCCATAATTAAAGTTCTCACTTTCCTTTTTTGGATGTCCACAATTAAAGTTCCCATTTCCTTTTTTGGTAACTTTTTTTTTATCAAAAAGACTTAAATACCCTTCTTTATCTTTTACTTTTCTTCTCTCCTTTTTTTCTTTCTTTTTTTCCTTCTCTTCCGTTCAGAGTTTTGGATATCTCTTTTCTTGTTCTTCTTCTTTCCTTCTCTCTCTCTCTTTTCTTCTTCCACCTTCTGATTTTTCGTTTCTTTTCTTTTTTTCTTCTCAGATTTTTCCTTCTTCTTTTTCCCCCCTTATGAATTTTCTTTTCTTCATCTTCTTCATTTCCTTCCGATTTTTCTTCTTCTTCCCCCATTTCGATTTTTCCTTTCTGTTCTTCTTCTTCTTTTTCTACTTCCCCCCTTCGGATTTGGCGTTTCTATTCTTCTTCTTCTACTTCTTGTGCGTCAGATCTGGAAAAACCGGATTCAGATCTGTAAATCGACGAAGGATTCTTCAGATCTTTTTCATCTTCATCTCCTTCGGAACTCTTCGATTCTTACACCGTGGTGCGGGAATAGAATGCTTGATTTGGATCGCCGGAATTTCTCACTGGCCGGAAATTCGCAGGATTAGAGTTGCCGGAATTTCTCTCCAGGCGATGGGATGGGCTGCAAGAACTTGGGCCAGGAATGGTGGGGGCGTGGGTAAGGTTGAGGGGTATTTTGGGAAAGTCAATGTAAATTTTAACTTTTATTAAACTTCGTGTCCGGTCAAAGCGGGAACTTTAAATGTGGACGGAGGGAGTAGTTGAATTTAAAAAATGTAAAATTGTTTAATAATTGGGTAATGATTGAAGAGACATAAAATGCACATGAACCACTACATATTTCATTCAAAATAGGTATGCTGAGGTGACGTCCACATGGCAAAAAAACGCCCAAAATTGACTTAAATCACTACGCATGGTCTTAAGAAGATTGCTTACCAAGAACGAGGCGGGGGCGGATATACATCCGGAACTAAAAGTGTTGGATAGAATAAACCCATTGGGGGTACCTGTATAAACAATTATTGATTAGAAATTTTGGTTTTTATCACAAGTGAGAACCACTATGCGTAATCAAACACTATAGGAGACCAACAATAAGAATCAAATCATTACTTTATGAATGACCTACATTAAGAGCAGTTAGCCTTGTCTTGTGAGATCCAGGTACCATCCCATCTTCATATGAATGAACCTGGGTAACTGCTTCAACTTCACCCTCCTAAATATATGCATAAAAGAAAAGAAATAAGAAAGTGATCATAAACTTAGCATCTTAATGAATGCATCAAAAATCTCATTGTGTACGGGAAGAGTTATACTGCCTCCGTCCCAAAAAGAGCTTAATCAAAGTGCAACTTTTAAATGTCGATAAGGACCAAGTGTACAACTGCCATAAATTATGACTTGCACTCACTACTTACATTCCTAAAATTTATTGGTTGGTTTAACTAAATTTGTCATACATATAACCATTTGTCCATGATTTTTTGACACATTACATGGAAAACAAGTTTTGTTTGATCAAGCACGAATTTTTTATTAGTAGAATGATTGATCGTTTTAAGAGTTTGAAATGCTTTTATAATTTTTAAAGGATGGTTGCTTTACATTTTGAATCATTGAATTATGTACATACTATAATGAGAAATTTTCAGGATTATCAGGCAGCGATGGCTGGCAATACCCAGGGACATATTAGTAGAAGCTTGAATAAAAGATAAAGGCTAATAAGTGCTCACTCTGATAACACAATAGGACTCTCTAAGTTTGTTCAGCATTAGCAAATCTACAGGCTTAGCAAGAGCATCAGTTCTAATCGGCGGCCATGTTTGGTGATGCCTCTGAGTCCACAGAAGGCATCTTGATATATCCTGTAACAATACAGACATTTTTACTGATGAAAATACCAGAAATGAAAATAAGCCAAAATATTATTTCAAAGGATTAGATAATCTAAATGATATAAATACGGAGTATATGTTAACATGCCACAATGAAAATATCCAATGACCTTATCTTGAAAGGATATAATTATGGAAACAATGGCTGGATAAGCACACACAAGAATGTGGAAAAAAACAGACGTCCCTGAACAATTAACAATTTTGAAAATCAATAAATAAATAAATAACACTGCTCTAACCTCTCCACCATAACGTAGATTGATTTGTGTCATAGGAAGAGCTACTCCATCCTGGACATCAAAAATGGCCAATCACAAAGTTGAACGGATGAAAGATATTTTTGAAAAGAAAAAAAATCATGTGCATTCCTTGAAAATAGTTGAGTGCATTTTTCCGCATCCAATTCAGCCACTTGAAGAACTATATAAATTGCCCTATAACTTCACCGGAGCTTTTGTTTCAATCATAGAAAAACAATTATTATCCCGGTGCATTTGATATGCGACAACGAACATACCTCAACACAAACTACCGATGTCACCTGAGCACCAATATTCACAACGCATGCTGTTGATAAACCATTACCAAATACTGCAGCAAGACCTTCCTGGTATTGACTCAGCGTAGAGTAATGGAGACAACATGAGATCCCAAAAAGGTGTGATCATGGAAGCGAAGATTATGGGATTCAATAAAGAACAGATTTCACACTATTTTCTCAAATCCAATGGGTGCAATGTATGAAAAGAAAATAAAGATTTGAGTGTCTTAAGAAAAAACAATGATGCACTTGTACATAACTACATATCCCAGTAGGAAACATATCAGGCTTAATTGTAACACATACCCCCC